CCCCGGATGGGAGATTTGAGTATGGGACCGGGCCCAGATATATTTGGGTTTTCTCAAGGGAAACTGGGGTTTCTAGGGTTTATCATATATTGGGATTTGTATACACTTTAATGCGCATGTATGTGGGAAAAGTTCTCAAAGATGGCAACCTTATGCATCAAGGTACACCTGAAGGTAGAAAAATCTGATCATCTTCACAGAGAATATATAGATATTTAAAAGGGGAAATTAAAAAAATAACATCATGACATATTATTACCCAACTCAATTATTTTTCCCATTTTTTTTCCCCAAAACACGCTTTCTATATAAATACCCTCAACCAAAATAAAAATAAAAAAATATCTAAATTACCGTCCCTTATTTTTACCTTGCCCACTCCTCTCTCTTCTATCCCACCAAAATAAGGGCTCCAGCACACATGTGCTTCGACAATAGTGCTCCGACACTATGTAAAGTGCGGTCCGGCTCCGACACTGTGTAAAGTGTGGTCCGGCTCCAATACTGTGTAGTGTGATCCGGCAATAGAGCTCCGGCACTGTGTAAATTGATGTCCGTCAATTGCAAAGGGCAATCTAGTAGTTGCAAAGGGTGGTCCAGCAGATGTCCAGCACTATGTCCAGCACTATGTAAAGAACGGTCCGACAATACTCAGTTTCGGTCTGATAGTTGTCTTAGAGCAGTCCTTCCGCTCTATCAATGTGCTACTTGGATCCAAAAGTCAACGTCAAATCTGTTCAAAATGATTTTTTGTGTTTGGAAGGACATTTCGTCTAAAAATAATTGTGACAAAATGATTTTTTGTGTATGAAGGCATTTCGTCTTAAAAAAATTAACTTTTTCCCTTGAGGTATTTGCATAGAAAGTTTGTCTTGGGGAAAAAAGTAAGAAAAAAAGGTTGGTTGGGTAAGTTACATAGAAAGTGTGGTCAAGAATCTCTATAAAGGATCTAAATCAATTTTCAATAAAATTTGAAATTAAAAAACTGGTACAGGTCTTACGGATCTGTGGACACTTAATTCTATGGTGAAATAGACAGTATTGATAATTTGGTACAATACACACGATTTTTAGAGCTTAAAATCCTTTTTTTTTCCACAACTAATATGTTCATGCAGACATGATCAATGTAAAGGTATTCTAATGCTTGAATTGTCATTTTTTATGAAGTATGAGGTGAGGCTTTACGATGCAGAGAGGAAAACTAACAAAAATAAAAAATAACTAAAACAAGTGGAAAGATTCTACATTTTCTCTATGTAGTAAGGGACTCCACCATCAAACTCTTTACTAATCACCAATCACCTTATAGAGACTGACAATACAAACTTATAAAGAATAATAAATATAAATAAAATAGAAATAAGAAACTAAACTTTATATCACCCTTATCTCTTAAAAACAATTCTAACATATCCTAACCAACCAATCATGTTAATCCTTATCCATATCCATCTTTTTTAAAATAATTAAAATTTCAATTCTACCCCTTAAATCTCTATAACTAAACAAATAAGAATAACCCAAAAGAAAACTAAAAATCTAAATAACATACTTTTTAAGTCCTAAACAATATAAACATAAAAAATAAAATAACTATTTGTTTTTTTTTTTTGAGAAGCTCGACTTTGAAGTTATTGAACTTAAATATTTAAGAAGCCTTCTCTAAAGTTGATAATGCAGTCCCAACATTATTCTCGATACTTTGTTTTCAATATATCAATTGATCAAATACTTCATGAACAACTTGATGTAGAACCTTGGGATCTCAAGCTTAATCTTGATTTCTTTTTCAAAATCTTCATAAAACTCAAGAAAATCATGCTGAATCCCGATATCATGTGAATGTTCCTCAAATCGTGATTCTTGCATCATGATGTGCTCATTACATATACGATAGGCATTTGGAATCGATGGTGGAGGTAGTTGTGTCACTAAGGTAAAAGTTAGCCCCTAACCTATGCGATTGAGAGTAAAGAATTTACAACGAGGAACTCTTTGAGAAAATAATTATGCCCAACACTGTTTGTCGTGGTTCTTTCATTGTATATATAATGATAATACAATAGTGTAGTATGTACTTTCATTTCTTCTACAATGGCAATATGCACTTTCTTATCTTATTACATTCTACAATATTAATATTTTGTTTCTATTACTCGTCTTCAAACTCGATTGAGAAGATATTTGAAACTCGAGTTTAAAGCAAATATATTGAAAAACATCTCGTGGCAAATGCTTGGTGAAGATATCAGCTACTTGAGTGCGAGAGGAAACCAATTGGGTTCATAAGTAATCCAAGAATAACCCTTTCACACACAAAATGATAGTTTAACTCAATATGCTTTGTCCGTGCATAAAAAACATGATTAAATGTCATGTAGAGAGCACTATATTATCACAAAACAGTGTTATTGGTTGATGAAGAGGCAACCCAATATCCTGAATAATAAAAGAAAGTCATATCAATTATGCAGCAATGGATGCCATAAATTAGTATTCCGCTTCAGTACTTAAACGAGCCATAGTCGACTGTTTTTTAGCACTCCAAGATCTGCAATTAGAATTAAGATAAGTGCAAAAACTAGTGGTTAAACGACGAGTGGTTGGACATCCGGCCCAGTCAGCATCAAAGAAGGCATATAACTCAAGGGAACTAGCAAATAAGATTCTTATACCATATTATTGTGTACCATTGAGATAACGAAGAATCCGTTTAACTGCTTGAAATTTTGCTATTGTAGGGGCATGCATAAATTGACACATTATATTAACATTATGGGAAACGTCTGACCGCATCATGGTAATGTATTGAAGGGCACCAACAATCCTCCGATGAATACATGGATCAGGAAACAAATCGGAATTCCCACAAATAGTATTTTTCATTGTCATTGGTGTTGAAATAGATTTGGCACCGTGCATCTAAGCACGATCAAGAAGATCCCTTGCGTATTTTTTTTGTAAGAGGAAATCCCACTTAAAAAATATGATACCTCAATATCAAGAAATTAGTGATAGATCTTTTATTGTAAATTCCCTTTCAAGTTGGGAAATGAACCGTTATAGAATATCTGAATTGTCACAAGTAATAATAATATTATCATAAATGAGAAGGATAATATGCCTTGAGTAATGCGAGAAACAAATAGAGATGAATCAACGATGCTGTAATAAAACCATAATGATAATAAATATGCACTAAATCGATCAAACCATGCCCGATGTGCTTGCTTGAGACCATATAAAGCTCTTTTTAATCTGCATACATGAGTTGGATATTTTGAGCTCACAAATCCAAGAGGTTGCTCTATAAATACAGGTTCTTTAAGAAAGCTATGCATAAAAGCATTTTTCACATCAAGTTGTCTGATGGGCCAGCGGCTTATAGTAGCTATGGTGATCACAATTCGAATACTAGCATGTTTAATAACAGGACTGAATGTTTCAGATAAATAAATTCCAACAACTTGATTATATCATTAGTAACTAGTATGGCCTAAAGTCTCTCAAGGCTACCAACAGACTTTAATTT